AGGCTTTCTGGGTAAAGTGCAATTCGTAAGACGGTTTATCGCAAAATTAACCTTGACTTGTGAACCACTCTTTGGTCTCCTAAAGAAAAGAAATAAGTTCCAATGGGACGGCCGATGCCAAGCAGCTTTCGAGCAGATCAAACAATATTTACAGAACCCACCTGTGTTGTCACCACCTGAGCTGGGGAAACCGTTGATTCTGTATCTTTCAGTGACTAAAACTACAATGGGCTGCATGCTTGCACAGGAGTCTGAGGACAAAGTGGAGAAAGCTATCTACTATCTGAGCAAGAAAATGCTGGATTACGAGACCCGCTACACTCTACTGGAGAAGGCTTGTCTGGCCTTAGTATGGGCTACCAGGAAGTTGCGGCACTACCTGTTAGCTCACTTTGTAATACTGGTTTCGAGATTAGATCCCATCAAATATCTCTTCGAGAAACCAGCACTTACGGGTAGGCTAGCTCGTTGGTTACTTCTGCTTTCCGAATTTGATCTAAAGTATGTAACGCACAAATCAGTAAAAGGGAGAGCGATAGTGGAGTTCCTAGACGATCACCCGGTTGAAGGGGATGAAGCAGTTAAGTATATATTCCCAGTTTTGCATGTCGAGGAAGAGACTTGGACGATGTACTTTGACGGAGCGTCAAACCAATACGGGTATGGGATAGGGGTGTTGCTGATAGCACCCGACAATTCCTTCATACCTTTGGCATTCAAACTCCGGTTCAAAGTATCGAACAATGAAACAGAGTATGAGGCATGTATTGCTGGATTAGAAGCTGCCCTAGAACTAGGGGCAAAATGGTTGGATGTCATCGAGGACTCGAACCTTGTTATATCTCAAGCTAAAGGAGATTGGAAAGTTAAAGAAGAAAATATGAGAATCTATCACCAGACCTTGGACGTGTTGATTCCTCGGTTTGAGAAACTAAACTTCGCTCATCTGTTAAGAACAACGGGTTCGCGGATTCACTAACAAATCTATCTTCTATGATAGACATCCCTTTCGGAGTCTGGATGCGTCCGATCATCATTGAACAGAAATTTATGCCGGCCTACGAGCTGATTGCTGCCATAGATGAGGTACAAGATGAGAATCCTTGGTATTACGACATCTGGAACTTCTTGGAAAAGAAAGCATATCCACCAGGGGCAAATGCCAAAGATAAGAGGGCAATTCGAAGAATGGCTGCTCAGTTCATCGTCTGCGGGGGTAAACTGTACAAGAGAGGTCATCTGGGGATGCATAAACTGTGTGTTGATGCTGAAGAATCCAAGCGCCTGATGGAGGCCATCCATGGAGGTGAGTGCGGAGCGCATATGAACGGGGTGATGCTAGCCCAGAAGATCCTAAGACAGGGTTATTACTGGTCCACCATGGAGGAGGATTGTATCGGCTTTGTTCGACGATGCCATGAATGTCAGGTCCATGCAAACCGCATGAACATTCCGCTGTCGAAGCTGTACAATATGACCTCGCCATGGCCATTTTCAGTCTGGGGGATTGATGTGATTGGAGCTGTCACTCCGAAGGGGTCCAATGGGCATGAGTACATTTTGGTAGCGATAGACTACTTTACGAAGTGGGTTGAGACCCAATCTTACGCGGTGTTGAAGGCATCGCATGTTGCAAAGTTCATCAGGAACAACATCATCTGTCGCTACGGGGTCCCGAACGAGATTATTTTGGATAATGGTTCCCACTTTAAGAAGGAGGTGGTCGACTTGTTGGAGAAGTACAACGTGGCGTTTCATAAGTCATCTACATATCGGCCGCAAACCAACGGAGCAGTTAAGGCCACCAACAAGAACATCAAACACATTCTGCAGAAGATGGTGGAAACCTACCGGGACTGGCCAGATAAGTTGCCGTTTGCTCTTTGGGGCTACCGGAATTCAATTCGAATTTCTACTAGAGCAACTCCATATTTCTTGGTTTATGGGATGGAGGCTGTTCTGCCTATCGAAGTTGAAGTTCCGTCATTACGGGTATTGGCCGAGTGTCAGATATCTGAGGCAGATTGGCAGCAAAGCAGGTTCGAAGAACTCATGCTCTTTGACAAGAGGAGGTTGAAAGCACTGTATCATGTTTAGGGTTATCAACAAAGAATTGCCAGGGCGTTCAACAAGAAGGTTAAGTCCAGGAATTTGAAGGAAGGAGATCTTGTGCTCAAAGACAACTGAGCTCCCATCCATGACCCTAGGGGCAAGTTCAGACCCAATTGGACTGGCCCTTACATCATCAAGTCTATCTGGTCAGGTGGAGCTGTCGTTCTGATGGACCTAGATGGCCTAGAGTTCTCCCAGCCAATCAACATGGACAAGTTAAAGAAATACTACCCCTGAGTGGCTCGCTAGGTCGAAAACCCGAAACGGCGACCCAGGCAAAAGTTAGAGCATGAAAAATTTGAAATTATAAAAACTGAGCTCGCAAGGTTGAAAACCTAAAAAGGGCGGCCTTGGCAAAAATTAGAGCGCAAAAGGAGAGTGTTAATACACGAGTGAACCCAAGCCGAACTACGTAAGGCTTGATTCCCATATTTGGGATACGTAGGCAACTTCATTCTGAAGTCCAGCCATAAACACTTCCCCGATCAACTTCGTCCATGTGATCATGTTTGGTCATCTTTGTCTACTCTGCATTCAAGAGCTCGGTTGTGATCTCCAGTGCAGTGCTATTCAGAATAGGGGCAACTTTCCAGTTGATAGGATCCAGGGTTGTGCATCTCAGCGATAGATCTCAGGCGTGTCCAGTTCTGATCCATATCGAAAATGGTTTTGAAAAGTTTTAATAAAAGTTGATTTTGTTCAAATTCATCTTTTTACAACTTAGACCATTTTTGGACCAAACGAAAAATTTTTAGTACTCACAACCTTCAATTGTATTGATTTCAGTACAGAGTTCTCCTACTCTTGAATACAAATTGAAGTTGCTTTTTATTATATTCATAAAGAAAACTTGAAAGTACTGATAAAGCAATAAATTTGGGGCATAGATAAGTCAGGTGTTCCTGCGCCCCCTCCCAGAGCTGGTCAAAGCCTCTGATGCCAAAGTAGGCCCAACCTGCGCCTCCTCAACATGCCAAGCTATGCACTCATCAGAGAGGGTGCAACTGAAAGTGGGAGCGGGGTCCAGAAGCTCTCTCGTCCTCCATGCTGTGGCATACCGGGCTAGCTATGCACCTCGGACCGGAAATACAGTCAGGTACTTTATCCCATCTTTCGAATAAGTCTGATCATGACCGAACTGGCGCCAGAATCGAAATGGGAAGTAAAAGACAGTGTGTCAGGCCGATCAACTGAATCCTGGGCTGGCGGGTCATGCTGTAGCTCATCGCCGGTAAATTGAGCCAAGGGTAGTGCCAAGCAATACTGGTAGCAGATAGACTGTACATCCATTCGAACCACCATCCCTCATCTGGGGCATCGACTAGACGTCGTCGGAAGAAATAGCCGCGAGCTGAATATGCTGGGTATGAGTCCACAACCTTCAATCTATCCATCAACCATATCTGGAGAGGGATAAAAATGAGAGATTAAATAATAGAGAGGTGTACGTGGAGAGAAAAGTGAGAAAAAGGATTTTGAGAGAAAAATCGAGCCTGAGGGCCGAGTGATGTGAGAAATATATGTGAGATAGGGTGGGAAACATTACCTGTAGCAGTAGTGGACTCCCCACAAATCTAGTCGTCTCTTGGCGACAGAAAGCGTCCAAACCCATCAATGTCTCAGCCAATGTCATGGCGATGCAGCTCTTACCTCTTTTAAGCCCTTGGCGACTTCAATCAAACGAATGCTAAACCCTCCGGAACCTAGGGCGAGCAAGAAATGAGACAACATGCACAAGCAAAGTGCATGTCACCAAAAACCCTGCCAGTCATGGTCGCCGCGGTCACCGGCATCAGAAAACTGACAAACCAAGCTACGGATATCCAGTACTCCGTCGCGAGTTAATGATCGAGCGTCATGCAAAGTGAGCCCGCACATGCATCTTAAGGCTTGGACATGGCCAAAATGAAATTGTGGCAAAATCTCTTCCTCGCACTCGGACTCCATTAGAGCTTGGAAGTCTTCGAAAATAGGACATATCTCTTGTCCACCAAAGCTAAAGACGTGAGTTACCGGATTCCAAAACCCTGTCGTGACATAAAGGAACGGAAGACGCAGCGGGGTGCGACTCATCGTGAATAGTGTATTTATGCCGAAGCCCCAGAAATTCACCTTTTCCGAGCCATCGAAGGAAGCAATCCAATTTGTGAGATTTTGGACAAGAAATGCCTCCATTTTGGTGCAAAACTGAGTTAGAATGAGGGAACCACGAAGCTGGAACCTTTATGAAGGATAAAGCAGTGTTTGGAGGACAAGTGTCAGAAAACTGGAGGTCCCAGGCTAACTGGTCGGCCGACCACTTTTTCTGGTCGGCCAGCCAGTTTTTCTGGTCGACCAGCTACTTTTCTGGTCTCTAGGCCAAGAAAGTGGTCGGCTAGCCACTTTTGGTGGTCGGCCATGGAGCAAAAGTTGTCTACAGCCTTTTCCTTGCCTCCAGAAGAGAGTCTCTAGCTTTCCTGTGTACGGAGAGTGCTGAAGGTCCGAGTTTACCTCTGTTTCGGATGCATTCTGTCCCCTTGTTTGTCTAAAATGTATTTGTTTATCGAGTTGTTGCTCTTTGCTTATCGAGTTGTTGTTCATTTGTTTATCGAGTTGTTGCTTTTTGTTTATCAAGTTGTTGCTCTTTATTTATCGAGTTGTTACTCTTCGCTTATCAAGTTGTAAACTTGTTAAAGTCTTGTTGTTATTTTTAGGATTGAGTCGTTTTGTTGTGTTGGTTCACTACCTGACTTGGCAATGCACGATGTTCAAATTCCATTCAATCCATTATTTGTGCAAAATGATGCAATGTGATGCTTAGAATACAAATACAACACCTTTTTGAACGAAAAGCCATTTTCATTCCATCATGTTTCCTTTTTGCAACATTTTACAACAGGGTACAAGTTTTGAAGAAAATAAAACTACCTAAGCTGTACAATGTGCTACAACTACATGTAAAAAGAAAAATAAAACAGGAACATCTGCATCAGTGCTATCAAGCTCAAGACCGAGAGGCCCTCTTCACCCTCTTCGACTGAGCAGCCTCTGCGCCACCATCGTCGGCATCTCCGTCTAAATCAGAGCCACCATCCTCGGTAGCCTCCTCAGTGTCGCCTCCACCCTCCGAATCAGAACCAGAGCTATCATCCCTACATGCAGATGTCTCTGACTGTGAATGCGCTGACTTCTCCTCCTCGCTAGACTCCTCGTCATAACTGACAGGTGCTCTGCGCCTGCCTCGGCCACGAGTCGAGGCCCCTGTCCTAGCTGCTCGAGAAGGCTGGGATGGCCCGGGCTGTACAGGTGCGACCTGAAAAGACAGTTTGAATATATCAGCCAGAGTATGTATATCAAATGCAAGAATGATGCATGGAGTGAGTGCATGCAGATATAGTATGTGAATGTGGTGTGTTAGATGTGCTCTACACATGCAGTGAATCAGTATAGTGAAATGTTCAGTTTTGTATGTCATCAGAAGTATGATAAAAGCAAGAAGACTAGAAAATACCGGGATACTGTATGAGTGCAGCAGTGTCTCCCTCCGTAAGGCCATGCCCTCGAGCGAGGCCACCACCCCGAGTAACCCCTCAATATACTCTCTGGGAGGCTGCAGACACAAGTTCCAGTCATCAGTGAATGAATGAATGTCTAAATATCTGAGTGATAAATGAAAACTGTGAAGCGTACCGGTGGTGAGTCAGGGTCACTGATGTATCGGTGATCGGGCAATGGAGGCTCCAATGGAATCTGGTATGGTGTCCCATATTGCCAGCCTGTCAGCTCGGTCGAAAGATCTGGCCACCCGACACACTGCCAAGTCAAGGACATCCCTCTAGTCCCGCCTCTCGATGTGCCGGCCCCGCTGGTCAAAGGAATGTCTCCGGCTCGGGCGCGATTGGAGGAAGGCATGTCAGCAGCTCTCCTCCTGGGGGTACGGACACCTGACAGCGGAGGCATCAGGTACGTATGGCGATATGTCGCGTAATCCCCCTCCTCTAGGAAAAGGACCGCGTCAATACCCAACATAAGGTCCTCCGCCTTCCGGGGTGTGAGACCCCCTACGGACCGCATCTCTGGTGAAGGTAGTGAGGGATGTCCTGATCGGAGTTGCCTATCGTCTGGCGCATGAAGTGCTCTCCAAGAAACCAGGCCCTACAGACTGGTCCCTCAAGCAAAACCCTGTATCGCGAGGAGCCCCATGCCCGAGCAAACAGAAATCAAGGATTCCCTGGCATGTCGATCCAAGGCTGCCAGGTCACCTACGGGTAACAAGTGCATAAATTGATTAGATGTCATAAATATACAAGATGAATCAAAGTTGAAAGCATGAAGAACTGAGAGTTCTGGATTACCTCCGTCACCTGTACAGTATCAAAGAACTGTCGGAGGTAGGGCAGAGTCTCCCGGGGCCTGGGCCGGCGCCGACCCTCAAATCTGCGTGAGTAAGGGATCTCAAGGGGTGCCTCGACCTCGAGCTCAAGGGCCAACGTCGGGAAGTATGCATAAACCCACAGCTGTAAAAGGCAAGACAGTGGCTATCAGAATACAAAATATATAGAAAATACAGAATGCTTAGTGCAAAATGCGAATACAGAATGTATAGAAAATGCAGAATGTTGAGTGCGGAATATAGAGTACAAAATGTAATGTGTGCAGTATGCAGTGTACAGATAATGAAAAGCAGTAATGTAAATCAAGAGGGCAGAATATACCTCCCAAGCTCGCCCGTAGCCTCCAACTATGGTCCCCCGCTCGCGGGAGGTCGCGCTCATGTAGCAATAAAGGGTAGGGAGGGCAGCGCCACCCCAATGAAAGTGTCGAACCTGTGATAGGTCCACCAAGGCACTAAGAAGATAAAGCCCGACTGTGTTCCCCCTGTCGGAGAACAAAGTGGTCTTAAGGAGGAACATCAAAAATCCTCGAGCATACTGTTGTATGGCCTCAATGGTCTGGGGCGTAGTCCTCCGGTACTGCTCGGCGAACCAAGTGTACCAGACCCTGCCCGATGATCTGTCAATCGGCGGACGAGCTCTGAGCAGATAAATCCAAGCGGCCTCCCACTCGCCCATATCTGCGTCATATGGGATCGGCCGGCCTCCCACGTCAAGGCCTGTCAGTATGGAGAAGCCATATAGGGTCATCGTCATGTCCCCGGTGGCTGAAAAAATGGAAGGAGTTTGTGGTGTCCCACCATCTCTCTACAAGTGCGCCCAAGGGGGTCCTGCTCACTAGATGACGTGACAATCCTGCACAGAATGGGCCAAACCCTGGCTCGTCCACAATATGTCGGATAGCGTCTGGTAGCTCCATATACCACTCCCTCGTGAGGATCGATCCATAACCCCGTGTGAAACGGGAAGATACCTGCATTCAGAATGAAAATTGTGAGCTGTGTGTTCAGAATTGAAAAGTGTGAGCTGTGTGTTCAGAATGAAAGGTATGAGTTGTGTGTTCAGAATAAAAAAGTATGAGTTGTGTGTTCAAAATGAAAAATATGAGCTGCATGCTAAGGAAAAAAGCATACTGTGCTATAGACTACGTGTTCAGATTGAGTAGTGTGCTATAAACCGAATACTGTGCTATGGACTGTGTGTTCAGATTGAGCAGCATGCTATGTTATGAAAAAGTACATCGTGTTATGAACTGCATGTTCAGATTGAGTGGTGTGCTATGTTATGACAATAAACCGAATACTGTGTTATGGACTGCGTGTTCTGATTGAGCAGTATGCTATGTTATGAAAAAGTACATCGTGTTATGAACTGCGTGTTCATATTTAGCGGTGTGCTATGTTATGACAATAAATCGAATACTGTGTTATGGACTGCGTGTTCAGATTGAGCAGTATGCTATGTTATGAAAAAGTATATCGTGTTATGAACTGTGTGTTCAGATTGAGCGGTGTGCTATGTTATGACAATAAATCGAATACTGTGTTATGAACTGCGTGTTTCGATTGAACAGTGTGCTATGTTATGAACAGGTATACTGTGTTATGAACTGTGTGTTCAATTGAGCAGTGTGCTATCTTATGAAAAGGTATATTGTGTTATGAACTGTGTGTTCAGATTGAGCAGTGTTATGAGCCGTGTGCCAACTAAACAGAATGTTGTGTTATGAACTGTGTGTTCAGATTGAGCAGTGTTATGAGCCATGTGCCAACTAAATAGAATGTTGTATTATGAACTGTGTGTTCGGATTGAGTAATGTTATGAGTCGTGTGCCAACTAAACAGAATGTTGTGTTATGAACTGTGTGTTCAGATTGAACAGTGTTATAAGGCGTGTGCCAACTAAACAGAATGCCGTGTTATGAACTGTGTGTTCAGATTGAGCAGTGAAATGAGCTGTGTGCCAATTAAAGAGAATGATGTGCTATGAACTGTGTGTTCAGATTGAGCAGTTTAATGAGCTGTGTGCCCAAAATGTGCTGTGTGCCAAAATGTGCTGTGTGCCGAATTAACAAAGTGTTGTGTGGTGAGCTGTGTGCCAAATTAGCAGAATGCTATGTATGAACCGTGTGTTCAGAATGAGTGGAGTGATGTGTATGTCAATATGTTCAGAACGAGCAGATATGATATATAGCGAAAACATGGAATGTGCGAGAAATGCAAAAGTAAAGTACGCACCTCATGCGCGCGATGAGATAGATGGGACTCTGGCTCCGGTAGCAGCAGGTCTGCGGGCGCTCGCCACGCAAAGTCCGTGAAGTGATGGAAGGTGCTAGGAGGTAGAATATGCTCCTACGGGTCGTACTCCTCCGGGTCGAACAGCCGAATCCTCGGAGGCAACGATATAATGCCAGGCTCGTCCTCTGCATATGGAGAACCTCCGCCATACAGCATATCATTGGCAATCTGAAGAAATCTGCAAGATGATGCAAAAATGAGCAAATTGAGCCAAATTGCAAAAAAGTCAACAAAAGTCGACTCTCGAGAAGAGAAAAAGTCAACAAAAGTCAACGCCCGAGAAAAGGTGCTAAACTTTGAGACAAACATACCTCAAGTGGTGAAAATTGAGAAAGAAGCTCCGAAAACAAATTCTAATCGGTTCAAAACGAAGAGAATCGAAAGTTTTCGCGAGATAACTTCGCGTGGGGCGTTGGAAAACGCGTCTAAAGTGCAAATCTGAGAGAGAAAAGGGTCTAAGGGAGGAAGAGAAATTGATTTCGGCCTTGGAGATGTGAGCAAAACTGATTTGGAGTTGTGTACTTAAAGATCCGAGCATTAAAAGACAAAACTGCCCCTGTTTTCATAAACTGGTCGGCCAGCCAGTTTTTCTGGTTGGCCGACCACTTTGGTGGTCAACAAGTGGTCGGCCACTAGCCTAGGTGGTCGACCATCCCTCCTCGGTGGTCTCCAAGGCCCCTTTAAAATCTGTTTTTCAAAACGATTTGCCGGATTTGGACTTTTTGGTGATTTATCAATCTCACATCGCACATTGCAAGATCAGATTAAAAACCGTGACAATTTGAGTCCGAACTGTAGTGAGTCCCAAATGAACAAAACGGGATTCCCTCCCGGGACGTTTGGGGATGTCTACAGATAGTATATGTATTTGTTGGATTATACTATATTTATGGATTTTTATTTTGTTTGATATGTATGGTTAATAGTTAAGTTTTGTATGTGGTTGAAATTGAATAGTACAGGTTGTAAAGAAATATTTTTATTGAATGGTTAAGAATTGAATGAATGAATGAATAGATGAATAATTTTGTATATGCATAAGTTATAGGTGGCACAAAAAATATTGCAGAATAAATTATAAAAACTAAATGAGACATTTTGGTGACTAAACAAATGTCATGGATTGGCTTTTGGCTACAAAAATTTTAGTCGCCAATTGTGAAAAAGTGAAACTTTTGGCTACTAAAATGTTAGTCACCAATTGTAAAAAAGAAACTTTTGGCTACTAAAATTTTAGTCGCCAATTCTCAAAGAATAAAATTTTTGGCTACCAAATAATTAGTCGCCAAACATACATGCTCAATTGGCTACTAAATAATTTAGTCGCTAGAAGTAAATATATTTATATATTTAATTTTTTTTAAAAAAAATATGGCGACTAAAAAAAAATATGGCGACTAAGGTTTTAGTCGCCAATAGGCCACTTTTGGCTACCAAAAAAATTTTAGTCGCCGATTGTTTCCCCGACAAACTATAGGCGACTAAATGGGCGACCAAATATATTAGTTGGCAAAAGTGATTGGCGACTAAAAACAAGGCTTTTGGCGACTAAAATTTTAGTCACCAAAAGTGAAATTTCTTGTAGTGGAAGGGAAAAAAATCAAAACGACGTCGTTTTGGCACTACTGTAGGGATAGCTGGCACAAAAGATGATCTGGACAAAGAGTAGTGCTGCTGGGTTCTAAAACAAATCTTTTATTATTCATTATTCAAAGATAATTAACAAAAATAAAAACAAATAAATAACAAATAATATCACTCACACACTACAAGAAATTGTATTTTTTGCAACGCAACAAAATATGTTGCTAAAAGGGAAAATTCGTTGTGGAACTCTGCTCCCAATGTAGCAATTGATTAGGTTTCTTTTAATTTCAAACTTAAACTTGAGATAATTTAAAGGGAAAAATTATTTGTTGATTCTGGGGCGTGACGTGACTATGTCCTAGGCTAATCATAAATTTCTATATCTTTTTATATTTCTCAATCACTCAATATAAAATCATAGACTTCATCTCTTTTATCAATTACAATTATGTAGACCTCCACGTGGTGCTGCCTCTAGACTAACCAATAACTTCTCATTTAAAGATGTCATTATCAGTCTCGTTTTGATAATTCAAATTTTTATTTTGTAAATCTCTCCATCTATATCATTTATAGAAAAAAAAATTAATTTGATAATTGTAACTTCTTTTTTTTTTTTTGTCATACTTATCTTTGAAAAAATGAACGATGAATAAATTATTTAAGATAGACCATTAATTTTTTAAAGATAAACATTATAAAATGAAATTTAATATGATTATACATAAAATGCCCTCTACAAAATGAACGGTTTAAATTGTTAAAATAAGACTTATGATAGGTCTTACTGGCCTTCAAATTCAAATTTAAACTTAAGAGACGCCTAATAATGCAGAAGTACTAGATATTCAAAAAATATTACTGAGAAAATATAATCAATAATCTATATTTCATAGGTGAGGCTCACATCTTAATAATTTCAAATTTACACCACATACTCACTTTTGAAATAAAATTAAGAATAAATTTTCATAATGCATAGAATTTTTGGTTTGGAATCTAAGGTTGGACATATGTACTTGTTTACAGTTAACAATAGGGGTGTACACAGATTGAATTGGTCCATTTTAAAGTAAGCTGAACCATTTTTTACAGTTTCAAAAAAATTAGAACTATAATCGAACCGTCAACTTGTGAAATCGGACCAAAACCAAACCATAGAAAGTAGTTTTGGTTCAGTTCAGTTCAATAAATGCAATACAAAAGCACTAAGCCTATGTAACTGAGTATGCCCTTTCAAATTGTCCCTATTGTAATGGAAATTCTTTAATTCAAGATGTAATTTATACAGTTTGTACTCTTTATCAACTGGGTATTTAGATTTATTACTCTTAATTTTATTTGTTCAATTAAAATAATTGAATAACCAAACAGACGGGAAAAGTAAACCAAAAGCCGAAAAGAAAAGGCAAAAGGTTAATTTCTCTCCAAGTACCGAAAAAGCCTATTAAAGAACAGAATGAGAGAAAAACTTCGATCTGACCAAAACCTAATCGCAAATTCTCATCAGAGTGTGCTAAAGAAATAAATGAAAGATAATCAAATTAAATGAATTTAAACACCTTAAATAACAAAAAAATATATATTATAATTACACGGAATCGACAGAGTCACACGAAATCGACAGAGTCATGGAGGTTGATGACAGACCTTAATTTATCAAAATGCAGCGAACATACAGGCATTGCAATTTCACATTGAAAGTCACTGAGGTTTTCCGGAAAAGCTATATAAAAAAAATAATAATAAAAAGATCAAACAAAGGTGCGAAAGCAGATTGAATTTGAACTAAGATGCATGCATCAACATGAAACAAATGCACAACAATTTGTCTAATCAAATCATAACACTTCCCATCTAACAATCAAACAAAAACTAATTAGCAGAGAATTAAAAAATAAATACAAAAAAAACTAGAAGCGAATTATCTTTGAATCTGAACTAAGATGCATATATCAACATGAAACGAAAACGTGTCAATTTGTCTAATTAGATCATAAGACTTCATCTAACTATCAAACAAAGAATTAAACAAAAAATGCTAACTAGAATAGAACTTTATCTTTTGTCTAATTAGATCATAACACTTCTAATTAGCAAAGAATGAAACAAAAAAGCTAACTAGAATCGAATTTATAACAGCAAAATACAAATGAAATCAAGCACAACATTACTTTAATTACCTAACATTGAGAATGCGAGGCTCGAGAAAATCATGTATGATTGGAGGCAATCGAATAGGGGATCCAGATCATGAGGTGTTGTTCAAAATAGAGATATAATGGCGAGAAAATATTGAGGTCGGAGATTGGAATTTGCACCATGGACAACTAATAATCACTAGTAAGAAGAGAAGAGACATCCACAATCAGATTGCTGAAGCAGAAAGTGCAGAAGGTATGAAACTGGATGGGTTGATTTGGGGGTGGGTTTCCTTGAAGGTATGCGAAAAAAACCCTAGAGGCCGAAATTGGGGGAATAGAGATAGAGATACAAAGATACACACACACACAGAGAGAGAGAGAGAGAGCGAAATATGAAGGACATACTTGGGGGTAGTGCTCCAATGGTGGATCGTAATGTGAGATAAGAAGAGAATGGTTGCTGGTTTGCGATGGTGACATCAATGGCGGTGGTGGTCGTCAAGGCAATGGTGAGCAGCGGTGGCCATGCGATAATGTGCAACAATGGACGATTGACGGACACTATGTGGTCCTGTGCGACATTAAGATGAGCAACGGTGGCTTCGACATTGATGCTCTACATATTTGAGCCCTTGCTGGTGGGATGGGAGTGATTCTGAGTCGCACAAAGATAGAAGATGCAGATGGAGAGAGAGAGAGAGTTGAGCATGAAAATGAAAAGAAAAATTAGAGGCACCAAGATATCATAAAATTTGGGGATTTTGGGCACCAAGGGCTTGACAAAAACAAGGGTTTATTTATTTATTTTTATTTGTGTGTGTGTGTGTGTGTGTGTCTATTAGCGACCGCACAACAAAGGCTATGGCCAAAAAAAAACTACTTTTTTTTTTCTCTTTTTGATTCGGTAATTGTTGTCGTAAAAAGTGGACTATTGGCGACAAGATATTAATCTTTGCAAAAAGTTACTTTTTGCGACGAATAATTATGTTATCGCAAAAGGTTCTGTCATATGCCTATTTTCTAGTAGTGTAATAAGTAATTTTTTATTTTTTCAGCCAATTTTTTTTTTAGTTTTTTAGAAAAAGAAATGTTGAAACTAGTTCTAAAAATAAAACCAAATATATTGAAATTGATAATCTAACCACATTCTTTGAAAAAGTTTAAATTATCTCGAATTAGCCATCTCAACTTAAGAATATGATTGGGTTTGATGGGTTCATTTTGTGATCTAATTCAATGATCACTTTAATTTTAACAAGAATATTTAAAACTCTTTCAAAAGTTATAATAAAAACACAAACCACTAAATCAATTCATTTTACTAGCAAAACTTTTACCAACCAATAACGTTATCGTCGCTAAATGTTTAACTCTTTGCCCACGCCAACTTGTCATCGCCAAACGTAAGCACACTAATAGCAACGCTCATTGTGTTGCTAAAAAATAAGCCTCGTAGCTAAAATTTTTGAAATTTTGGCACCAACCAATAATTTTGGCGCTTGGTGAATGTTATGGCTTTTTAGCGACGGTAGTAAATTGCATCGCTAAAGGACTACTTTTACCAACGAAATTCATCCCTGTGTTGCCAAAAATATACTTTTAGCTATGAAAAATTGACGTCGTCGCCAAAAGTAGTCACCAAAAGGGCAATTTCTTGTAGTGACAAGTCTCATTTTTAAATTTTCATAAATATATTTTAAAATTCTAAAACATACTCTAATTTAATTTTTATAAATTATATAAAAACAAAAAAAGTTATTCACATTATATAGGCCTTGTTAGGTTTGTGTTTTAAGATTTTATTTTAAAAATAATTTTCTAGAAAGAGTTTAAAAAATTTAAAATTTTGTTTGTTTGTATATTTTGAAAATAATTTTGGAATTTTAGAATTTGGGATGATTTGATATTTTTTTAATGTTTTTTTTAGGTAAATATTTTTTTATAGTTGAATAGATGAATGTGAAAGAAAAAGTGTTTGAAAAAGTTAGAGGAGAGAAAAAAATGATTGATTGATATATAGTAGAGTATTGTTAGAGACTCACAATTCGGATTCCCAAATCCACCTAAAATGACATGGCAAGAGATGTAGGCCATATACAATTGAGTATATGACAAATTAAAAATTTGACATACATCATACCACATTAGTACGGATCAAATTATGAGAAGTTTTTTTTTGTAGGTCTTAAATATTTTCCTTTAATAGGTTTACTGGGGCAAAAAAAGTTTTTTTATTTTTTTTTTTTTATAGCAATGATAACCAATCATATTGTATGTGTTAAAAAAAATGTATTAAAAATATATAAAATATGTTTTTGTGGGTGTTCATTTCCAACCTTACAACCAAATAGGGAACTTAGCTAAAGAGCACGCCGCAAAATAGATTAAGCCAACCACCTGCCAACAAGAAAATGAGAATATCGCAGTGGCTCGTCCACGTGAGGGCACTCCGACAATCAAGTCAATCAAACAATTTCTCAAAGACACTAAATAAGTACTAAACTCACAAAATAAAGCGTACCTTAGACCCATGGGAGTGCCTCTCTTTTATAGTCAGTAGTGTCTTGGTCCCCTAGAAGTCTCACTTCATAAGACTCAAGCACAATGCATATCCCAGACTCTTAGCTAGATATGAATAAACTCCTTAAGAGCCTCATCCTTATCCCAACTAAGTGCCCCCTCTTATCTAGGACTCTTGTCCTCTATCCAAATATTTGGGATTTCGGCATTACTGCACCGAACCTCGGCAATACCACAATCACCTCGGCAAACATGATTAACCCACATGGCACCTCGGCCGACATTTTGAAGGCACCTTAGCTATGTAGCGTCATTCTCAAAATACTTCCCCACAACTACCCCTAGGTTTTATTACCTCAGCAACCTGATGTGATGGAACCTATATCGTCTGATGTTCCAATGTATCGGCTAAACAACATGCTAGAGATATTCCTCCGACTGAGATCATGACTCGTCGGCCTCAAGTAACCAGGACTCAGTTGTCCACTTCATCAAGAATCAAGAACCAAGAACCAAGTTCTTTCAACATCTCAACCAAGATCGATTTGCTAGTCGATGAGGTCATTAGCCCACTAGTCCGAGAATTCCAAGAATCTTAACTGTGCATGGCCGGTCACGCCCCATTATCCCAACCGTTTCTTTCACGTGTCATTACTTGTCGCGCGTCATTATGTCACATCAATTCTGCCATGCCGCCTGAGATCAGAGCAGGCATTTCGCCCTAGGTGGTTTTATCATGTTTTCTCGCCTTTTTTCATTCTAACAAAATTCTCTCTTCTCTCTCCGTCTCTTCACTTGGCAAACACAACTCTCTCCATTCTCAAACTTTCCTTCTCTAAAATTTCTTAAACCTCCATTGATGTTCCTTCGAGCTTTCTACAACCGTTCCGTTCACTCCTTCCAGCGAGTTTTCCACCATTTCGTTCCAATTGAGATCACCATCTAACTCCGGCGAACACGAATCTGGTGTCCCTTTCCTCGGCCTTGCTCTGTAGGTCCTCAATTTCTTTCTTTTAATTTCAGTTTCTTACTGTTCTTTGATACATTTCTTCGTTGACTATTGCACATCACACATTGTATTTGTGTTATCATTAAGCTTGTATCCTCATTCAAACTCTCTTGTTTCACACGTTCGTCCTCTAATTTACTCTCTATTCTTCATGTTCTTGAACTTGCACTTATGTTTTCTGCATTTGTTTATGCCTCTGACTCTCGCACACTGGCACTGGATGTCACGGGTCAATTCTTGCACTTGAATCTGTCAATGCTCTATTTTTATTGTATTCTTGAATCTTTGATCACTATTTCATGTTTTTAAGACTTGTTTCTTTTGTCTTTTCTTGATTGTTTCCAGATTACTACCTCTGAATCTTTGCCCATTCCTGTTAATCTTATATAGATTTAGGATTGAGATTTGCTAGAAACCATACTTAGGAAAACCTAAAACAAAACATTCCATAGATCTCCAAAATCTCTGCCTTAGTGCTCATTAGGGTTTCGCCGAGGTCCTTTAACCCACACAGTCCACATTTCTAATAGTAAACAATATCAAATTCACCTTAGTCTAGGTCATAGGTATATTTAAATGGAGGGTACACTCACCCAGTAAGTTAGAATATTTCCGCCAGGAGTTCAACATTCTAGCTGACGTTCAACTTAGGTTGGCTCAAAAAAAGGACTCCATGATGCCCGGAGAGACCTATATGCCCTCCCCTATAGTGTTAATTATCGATGGTGGAATTAGATTCCTAGATTCCTCATTGGCATCCTTTTCAGAGAGGTTCTCCACTTCTATAAACTCTCAATCCTATGCAACTAGCAGTAAACACATTCAGAGTCATCAATGGTACACCATGTGTGGCCTTAACTCTTCTAGTGACTATACTTACTACCTCAAACCCTAATCCACCAAGAACAAACTGATAGCCAACTTTCCACACTCCAACAAAGGCGCTGGAGATAACCTGATTGTCTCGAGCAATTGGGAGTTCGAACCAGACGACAATCTTCATCTCTATCTTTTATGCCGAGGAGTCTTTAAGGAAGACGAGGGTAAGAACTTAGTCATCCCATAGTCCCATTTCATTTTAACACTTATGAATTTATTTCTCTTTAATGTTCTAATGTTTTCTTGTTGTTGTTTGTAGAATTGCCTCAGCCTCCGAAGAATTTTCACCAGACCTACATCCTTAGATGAGATCTCATCTAGCTTTTGGGTTTACCTATCGAAGTCTGCAAGGCTCCAATCCTTTTGAATTACGTGCCGACCTACCGCAGCCCACCACCCAACATTTCCAAAAGGAGTAAGACACCACCATCAACATCAACTCAACAAGCCACTTCTTCACCATGGCCAGATCAGGTATCAATGTCTCATCCAGTGAATGAGCCATCCACGTCTGCTCCAGCCCATCTTGTTCCTCCATCATAACACCAACATCGTCGCCGACCTCCAAACGCTCTTGTCAGCAGAACTCGAAGCCCAAAGGGCAGAGGTTTGGACACATCGACATATGATCTAGCGAACCCGCCAATCGCTCTTTCCGTAATTAAATCTGGCATTGGAGTAACCATCACTGCCACATCCAAGGAAATGGATCGCAAACCAGCTGTGGCCGAGGATCTACTTGCCAGCCTACCAGACGTTGTCACAGTTTAGTCTACGCCATCTCCCCAACCCAAGCCAAAGAGGGTAAAAAAGACTAAGGCAAAGGCCAAAGTCACCACTATTCCTTCTGACTTTGAGAAGGACATTGAGGATGCACTACCAATATCAATGTTGGTTGAGGCCAAGAAGAGGTCAACTGAGGCCGAATCATTCGACGCCCCACATCCAAAGAAGTCGAGGTCCGAAGGTCTGAAGGGCAAAAGTGGTTTCGACTTCGAGAAAACCTGGGCCTCCGAGGTTCTGGTTAGAGACCGACCTCTCAAGACTGGTGACAGCGCCATCGAGAGCCTTGAAGTTGGCGTTACTCTGTCAATGGTTGTTCGTCTGTCAGCCGACATGAACCAGATGGTTGACTTCAACCAGTACGAGAACTCTGCGATGATGATGCGACATTTATTCTTGGTAAGTTTTTGACCTTCTGTTTTCCATTTAACTTTTATTTCATTCATTTGTACTTAGCCAAAATTTTCTAACTTGCTTATTCTCTTACAAGCCATCCAGCATGCTCATTCCTATGTGGTCAAGGCCGAGTTGGTGAAGAAGGACCTCACGAAAAAGAC